GCCAGGAAGGGAGAGACAAGAGGACCTCAGAGGCTTGTTGGCAAGCTGGTCTTGCCAAATCACTGAACTCCAGCTTCAATGAGATACTCTGTTTTAAAAAGATATAGTGAAGAGCAATTAAGGAAGGCACCAACATTGACTTCTGGCCTGCATGTGCGTGCGTGTGTGTGTGTGTATGCGCACACACCTTTAATCCCAGCACTCGGGAGGCAGAGGCAGGTTGATCTCTATGAACTCGAGGCCAGCCTGATCTACAGAGCGAGCTCTAGGACAGGCTCCAAAGTGATACTGACAAACCCTGTCACACACACACACACACACACACACACAGAGAGAGAGAGAGAGAGAGAGAGAGAGAGAGAGAGAGAGAGAGAAATGATTTTTAAAAAGTAAGTTTCACTATATAACCTAGGCTGGCCTGGAACTTGTGATCCTCCTGCCTCAGTCTCCTAAATACTGGGATTACAGGTGTGTGTCAAACATTCTGGGTTTGGACATTCTTCATACTAATCTTGTCATGTGGAAAGAGCCTTCATCCAAATGCCACTAACCCTTCTGGTCACATCCAACACAGTCCCTCTCCCAAGGCCAAGCATTCCACATTCTCAGCAGCCCCAGCTGACACTTGGGGACACCTGAAACCACTGCAGTGTCCTGGGCCCCACAAACCTAGACCTTGCCAGGAATCCAGTTAGACTAGAAGTGGTCATCCCAGGGAAGGCCAGACAGTACTGAGTCAGACTTGGGAGGCTGTTACTCATGGGCCTTGGCCCTGGAGACAGGGTGTTTCTGAGGCTGATTTGGGGGAAAGGATGTCTGGGACCCTTTATCCAGATGGCCTGGGTATAGGATCTGGCTCTCAAAAGGTAACAGATGATATTCTGTGACAGTGGCAGATCTCCAGCCTGGCTCATCCTGGAGCTCAAAGTGGGTCATTAGGACTTAGACACCAGCCACCTCACAGAAGAGCTTCCCCTTGTGTTGGTTTTCTTCTGGCAACTTCTCTCCATCTTCCATTCTGATGTATAGCAAGTACCTCTTTATCTGACAGCTCCAACAAAACTAGAGTATTGTGTCATGATAAATCTTTCCGCCAAAAGCTGCCCGAGCCCTACCACCATGTGGGTGGTCTCCACCAGCCGCCTGAGTTCTGCCTGCTGAGTTAGAGCCCCAGTTAATGCACAGAGACTTATATTAGGTACAAATGCTTTTTGGCCAATGACTAGGATTCTCATCTGTTAGCTCAGTCTTATTTATCATAAAACTATATACATATTTTATAAGACTTATCAGACGCCTTCCATTGGCATCCTCCCTTGCCGGTGGATCACATCATGAATCTGGAGGAAGAGAGAAGGGGAAAGGGGGACCACTTCATGCTTGTCCTTCATTAAATATGAGTCTCCCTGCTATGTCACTTTCTGCCTGGATAACCACTTCTTTACTACATTTCCCAGAGTCCTCCTCAACTCCTAGTCCCTCCTAACTTGCTGCCTCATTGGCCAAACAATACTTTATTCAGCAATCAATAAGATGAACATACACAGAAGTACATTCTCCATCAGTATTGTCCCCTTGGCAAACTGCTTGTATGGCTCAAACATCCATCTGAACAGTGTAGCACTAAGGGAGTACCAAGTTCTGGCCAGCCAGTCCTGAACTACAGGCCACCTCTGGGTTGATAATTAAGATAATACTCACCACCTCTGCAGACTGAGCATGAACAAGAAGAAGAACCACAGAAAGTGTCTGCTAACGTGCCGAGGAAGGAGCTAAGTTAGTTAGGTACTTACAGTGCAAGCATGGAGAACCCAAGGTCCTATCCTCAGCACCTCTGTAACAAAGTCAGTCCGGCAATCCCAGTGCCCAGAAGGTAGAGACAAGAGGACCTCAGAGGCTTGTTGGCAAGCTGGTCTTGCCAAATCACTGAACTCCAGCTTCAATGAGATACTCTGTTTTAAAAAGATATAGTGAAGAGCAATTAAGGAAGGCACCAACATTGACTTCTGGCCTGCATGTGCGTGCGTGTGTGTGCGCGCGCGCGCACGCACGCACGCACACACACAGAGAGAGAGAGAGAGAGAGACAGACAGACAGACAGACAGACAGACAGACAGACAGACAGACAGACAGACAGACAGACAGAGACATGAATAGGCATCAGGTACATGAGTATCAGATAAGGTTGCGATGGCACAGGATGAGTAAGCTCCCGATTGCTGCTAGTTAGTGTTGCACTTCCAGTTACCAATACCAATACTATTTTGAACATGAAACTCTATCAAAAGATCAGAGTTCATGTTACTCTTTTTTTTCACAATTGAACACATTGGCTATTGTTGAGGAAAGAAGGAAAAATATTATGGACAGACAAAGGTCGGATGTTCACTCCAGATTTCCTCTATGGTTCATCTTTCACAGACCTCAACCCTGCCTTTTTGGTAACTTGTCTTAGTCAGGGTTACTATGCTGTGATGAACATCATGACCAAAGCAACTTGGGAAGGAAAGGGTTTCTTTGTTTATGCTTGCAAATATCGTTTATCAACGATGGAAGTCATGACAGGAACTCAAACAGAGAAAGAACCTGGAGTCAGGAGCTGATGCCCAGGCCATGGAGAGGTGCTGGTACTGACTTGCTCATGGTTTACTCATTGCATTTTCTTATAGAACCTCAAGATTGCCAGCCAAGGGAGGCACCACCCACAATGGGCTTGATCCTCCTGCATCAATCACTAATTTAAAAAATGCTTTATAGGCTTGCCTACCGCCCAATCTTATGGAGGTATTTTCTCTCGGATGACTTTAGCTTGTGTCAAGTTGACATAATACTACCCAGTACATAGCTGAATATATGTATCAGCCTTTGCAACTCCTCTAGTATAGAGAGAATGCTGTAAGCATCACAGAGTCTCTGCTACCTTGTACCTGAACAGCATAAGGGTGTAGGGCTTGCTTGGTTCAGCTGAATCAAGCTCTAGAATTAAGTGTGGATAAAGGTGCTCCTGTCCTCAGGGGAGGTGTAGGAAACAGTCCCTGCTTCCCAAAGGGCAGGCCATCCTCAAGCTCATCTCTGTGGTCTTCTGGTTTTCCCCAGGCAAAGCTAACAAGAATGTCCAATGGGATGAGGACATTGTGGAGTACATGCCCACCAACCCGGTGAGAATCGCCTTTGTCCTGGTGGTCCATGGCCGTGCATCTCGACAACTACAGCGCATGTTCAAGGCCATCTATCACAAAGACCATTTCTACTACATCCATGTGGATAAGGTGAGGAGCGGCTGTTCAGATCCCTTTGTTGGGCTTCCTCAGCAGTCTGTCTGTGCATCTCTGATCCTTCCTCCCATTGCACAAGTCCAGAATGAGGTCTAGAGATGGAACAAACAAGATGGGAAGTGTGTGTGTGTGTGTGTGTGTGTGTGTGTGTGTGTGTGTGTGTGTGTGTGTGTGTTGTTAGCTTCATTTAGCTGTGGCTTTCAGCTTTTCCTATAAATATTGTTTCTCTGGTTGTTTGTTTGTTTTTTTATTCTTCCTCGACACATGATAATTACACATATTTATGGGGTACAATTTGATATGTTGATATATGTATACACGGTAAGCCAGTTGGTTCTGGAAATTAGTATATCCATAGCCTTAAATGCTTCTCATCTCTTTGTGATCAGATCATTCAAGATCCTCCCATGGGCTTTTTTCAATGTGCTCTTCATTACTGTTAGCGTTTGTCTCCCTCCTACATAATATAACACACACAAGAATTTCTTCTCAGAACCTAAATGTGCTGTGGTTTTTACCTCTTTCTCTCCCTACCTAGTGTTTATTGCCTGTCCTCACAGGTCTGTAAAAAAGTAGCTATCCCAGGAGTGGGCTCACTTTTTCTAGAAAAGTCCAGGTAGTTGAGATATTCTTTTGGACCATGTGCTAATCAGAGCTGCCCTTGTCTGACTGCAGCCACAGAAAACTGTCAATAAATGGGCATGATTGTGTACCAATAAAGTCTTATTCCAAACCTATATTTGACTTGCTGACCCTGGAGTGATCCTCCCCTAGTAGTTCTGTTAATCTGTTGATGTCACAAGATATGTGCATATCTAGAACCCTGGAACTCATAAGGTGGAGGCAGGAAAGTTGCTCTGAGGTCAAGTCCAGCACCAGCTGAGATCCTGTCTTCTCAGAAAACCACAGGTTGAGGTTGTAAGTCAGTGGTAGAATGCCTGCCTAGCAAGTACACAGCCTAGTTACAGCTTCTACCCTAAATCTAAAGAGGCAAAAGGGCTATTTTCATCCCTAAGATGTTTCTAGTCAGCCTGTAAAACAGTAAGGGAGGGGAAAGGTCCTGAAGGACAGAACATATAAAATTTAGACAGACCCATGTTTTTGAGGTTGTTACCCTCAGATAACATGCAGCAGTCATTCATTATCATGCTATGCTCCAGGCCCCACAAGCTCAGCAATGGGCCTGCGGAATCTGAATTTCAGTAACCAATGAAAAAATTCATATGAATGGAATATTTGAACATCGATGCAGAAAGACACCACAGGCTGCCATGAATAGCAGCCAGTGTGATCAGACACAACAACCACAAGAGGAACAGGGTGGCTGGGATGTCGGCTGCCATGAATAGCAGCCAGTGTGATCAGACACAACAACCACAAGAGGGTGGCTGGGATGTCTATATGGGCTGATGTTTTTGGGCTATTTACTGTTCCTTTTCTCCCTTTGTCTCCTGGGAAAAGCGTTCCAATTACTTGCATCGGCAAGTACTCCAGTTCTCCAGGCAGTACGACAATGTCCGAGTCACCTCCTGGAGAATGGCCACCATCTGGGGCGGGGCCAGCCTCCTGTCCACCTACCTGCAGAGCATGCGGGATCTCCTGGAGATGACTGACTGGCCCTGGGACTTCTTCATTAACCTCAGCGCTGCTGACTACCCCATCAGGTAAGGCAGTCAACAGCTCCAAGACAGCTAGGTTCATGGTCCTGCTTCCCTTCCCTCTTTATGTAACAACAGTGGGGACACAGGAAAGTACAGGCAATCAGCTTCCTGTCCAGAGAAGCATGCTGCTTCATGAGGTGAGCTGTGTTTTCTCCATGATATCACCCAACATTGTGTTTAGAAAGCAGAGGGCAGATGTGGGAGAGCATCCTGTTCTTAATGAAAAAGGCCAAGAACAGCCTTGTGGACAACAGTAGAAGATGAGGTGAGTAATGATGTTCCAAGGCAGGAAAGAGGCCAAGAACAGCCTTGTGGACAACAGTAGAAGATGAGGTGAGTAATGATGTCTTTGAAGTGTTCCAAGGCAGGAAAGAGCTAGGCCAGCCCTAGTGTGGGCAAGAAGAAGTTGGGCTTGGAAGAGCTGTAACAGATAGTGAGGAATAGAGAAATGAGACACAAGGTCATTGAGTCGATCTAGGTTATGTCATAGATCTGTTTCTCCAAGCCAGGTGAAAGTATGTTTTGAGCAGAGAAAATATGTGTCTGACCTTGATGTTGAACTCAAAGCAGGTTAATAGAAGGGAGGTTTCTTACAACAGCCCAGGCAAGGTCACAGATAAGAAGTGAGAAAGACCCTGGAATATTTACTGTAGAGTAAGATGTGTTGGTGAGCAGGGATGGAGCAGAGAAAAGCATGGAAGAACATTCTAGACCAGGATTGTGAGCCATGAAATATTGACATTTGGGCTGACTAATTCTTTGCTATGAGGCTTCCCCTTGCACTGTTGGGTCTTTATCGGTGTCTTTGGTCTCTACCTACAGAGCTGTCAATAGCATGCTCTGCCCACTTACGTCTTTCTCACAGTGTCTGAAGATATTGCCAATATCCCCTGAGGACCCAGATGACCTGGAGTTCAGAGACATCATTTCTTTTAAGAGAAACTATAGAAATCTAAAAATAGGTGTAGTTTAGTAAGCAATAGCTTGAGGAAAGGTGACTAGACAATGGGGCAAGAGGTAGTCAGAACAATCCCTTGTCATCTTCCAATAAAGGATTGAATTCAGAAATTTGTTGAAAATGCTGTGTATAACAGATATCATGGGTGGTCGTTCCTTGAACCCTTGTAGAGAATCCAGTAGATATATGCTCAAATTGAAGTCCACTGTCAAATAGTAAAGACATGGAAAAGCAAAAACTAGAACCGGTTCTGTCTGGTTCCAAAATAGATGTTCTTTTTGCTTGCAATTCACCTTTTGGGAAAAATCAGGAGACTGGGCTGTCTGTATAGTTGCAAGCAAGAAGGAAACAGGCCAGGTAGGCACACCCACTGCTGGTCCCCTAGAAATGATGCTTTGCAATGATTACAGTCCCAGATGTAACCATGGCCACTTATCCTGAAGGGTCAGGGCCAGACAGGATGCAGATTTAGATTCTCACAAGACTGCTCAGCATGGGAATCTGACATCAGTCATCAAAGCAGCAGCAGATTCCACATAAATCCATCCATGTGATACCAAGAGGTAATAACAAACTGTAGCAGAGCACCAGGCCCTTGCAAGGGGCTAGTGTACGTCAACTGTTAGCATCTAAGTTGCAGGCAAGGTTGCACCTTTTATCTTTGCAAGGGTCCCAGATATCTTGTCAGGCCATGTGCTGAAGGTTTGTTCTTTGTGATTCCTTTAACTGTAGATCTCATTGTTTGTCTCTGTGCCTGGCTTGTACTCCCTTCCCCCCTCCCAGCTCATTGCCAGGGTGCTCACCCACCCCTTTGGCTTTTCTGTGCACTCTGTCCTGTCAGCCTCATGGCTGGAGGCACCTGATGCTCCGGGCTGGCTGTTTCCTCTTGCTGTTGTTTCTATGAAGTCTCCCCACACAAAAACATATGGATTTTGCAGATGAATGGTTTCATCCCGGGCAACTCTGATAGGTTTTACTTCCCATCTGCTGTCCCATCTGTAGCTTCGAAAATGACTCCTTCCATCCCAGGAAGAATAAGAAAGTTAAAAGCTTTCTCAAAGGGTGGTGGGAGTGCCCACTTCAGACATTTCCAGGAGGCTTTTGAGGACTTGGAGAGCCTTCTGGGACAGAAGCAGCCCAAGGTATCCACTCTGAGTCCCCCACCCACCATGACTGGGAGTGTAGCCTCTCTTCTTAGGTAATAAAGACTCATTGCCTTACTGAGTCATAGACATGTTAGTTCCTAGACACAGGTAGCCATGTGAATTGGTATATACTTTCCACCTTAAAATGAACACAACAGCAGTACTTCTTGCAAGGGGCTGTTAGCAGAAGACAATGAAAAATGATACCTCAGAGGCATCACACAGAACCTGATGTATAGCAAGTGCTGGGTAAATACAGGCTGGTCACAGAAATGAGGTGATGTGTGCATCACAGGCAGGGCTTCACACTCCCCCTCCCTTCGAAATATTTCCCCTTTTCCTCTGATGGAGTGAAAAGCCAGGCGATTATTTCTCAACTCCAATCCTTCTCAAGGTGTGAAAAGCAGAGTGAGTCTGTGAACAGTGTTTCAACAGAAAACAAGACACGATTTGTGTGTGAAGGAGATTCCTGTGTGGGTAATGGACAAGCTAAGTATGCTCAAAGTCTCCATGCCTTCCTGCCCTGCTGTTTAATGTGGTACTGCACTGTGTAGGCTCTGGTTGAAGCTGGTTAAATGCCCAGCACATGGTGGGACATGAATGTTTCCAAGTTCTATGTCTTGACTCATCAAAAGCATGTTAATTGCATTTTTCCGTTTCCTGAATACCAAAGAAGTAACTTTTGACTGGCCATATATATGTAGGGATCAAACCATGAACATTTCTCCATGCTGTTTTGTTCGGACCTGCATAGGGACATCCATCTTTAGGACCTTTGCTTTGGGACAAACAGAAGGGTTGAGTGTGTCCACAGTTCCTTTCAGCCTCTATCTGTGGTGTGTGTGTGTGTGTGTGTGTGTGTGTGTGTGTGTGTGTGTGTGTGTGTGTCAGAAGCTGTTGCCTAGGGAAAACAGTGTTGGCATACTTCAAGCTAAACCCAGGATCTGCCTTTTCTTTTTCTTAGGGATGCAGGACCATAAAAACATAACATACTGGACCCACTATGTAAACACATAAGTTATATTAACAACAAACTCAAACCTCTGTCTTGAGAAAGTACCAGTGCTGGGGATTGCAAAGTTGAAGAAGAGAAAATACAAGTAGATGAGACAGGAAGCAGGTAGTCAGGCTTCTCTACGGTCTCCCCAAAGCAATGTTTGTATGAGACCTAAAATGCAAGCATTTCCTGCACACCTACTATGTGCCAGAACCTCTGTTGAGGACTTCAACACATATTTTAATTTTCATCCTATAAAAGAACGATATGTAAGAAACCAGTGTGCTTAACAGGCATACTATGAGCCAAAGCCTTGACAAGACCCAGGGAATAGCTGAGGTGCCTGAGAGTTAGAAATCAGTGTAGACACTCAGAATCTGTGTTCAGTTCCTCTTGTATCATCATCCCTTTCATCAGTTCAGTGGCTCTGGTTGGGTAAAAGAATCCCTGCAAGGGATACCAAAGCACAGCCATAGTGCATGGCTGCACAGGGCTTTGCAGGTGCTGACCTGATGATGATACTGTGGGCAGGGTAGATGTACCCAGTGAGATTTGTTCTCACTCCCGGCTCACTGCAGAATGGGGCATCTGTCTCCAGCAGGTCTGGTTACCTGGGGGTGGATTTGGAGTTACAGATGGAAATTGGAGACTTTATCTTCTTCCTTATCTTACTACTCAACCCCTTGTGATGGCAATTCAGGGCTGTCTAGGGAGGGAACAGTTCAAGTCAGCCTGGTGAGGTCAGAGGAGAAAACCCTCTATATCCATGGATGGACTTGGGAGATGGGCCTCCTTCTGACAAACCCAATGGCTTCACAAGTCTACTTACTTTAAGTCAAAGTCTTCACAAAACCCAGCCAATGTCTTGTGATCTGCTGAGCTCACCTATTGGTCTGTTGATGCCTTGGTGCCCACACTAGGAAACTAGCGCAAGGGACCCTATGTCCATTTTGAGATATTATGTTGGTGGCTATGGGGGAAGAGATGGAAGGGCCCAAATGGAAGTGGGGATATGGTGGAGGAGGCCATAGCTTCTGGGGCTCCCAGAACCATGGCTACAGAACTGCTCTCAGCCACCATGCAGAGGCAAGCTTCCAGAAACCATATGAGCTTCCAGAATCTATGCAGCCATTTAGCCTTACAGTCACACACAGCCAAGCAGCCACCTTCTGCTTGGGGACTGAGAGCACCACACCTGAACACACAGCCTGCTACAGGACACTCACAGAGCATTTCAGTGGGATATGGAGCAAGGAACAGAGCAGCCCAGTGACCTGAGACAAGAATTTGGTAGAACAGGTCAGAAGAGATTCTTGTGAGCCAGAAGGATCACAGCCTACAGATTCAAGGAGAAAGGAAATTGGATGAAAGTGTCTTCTCTATGTTTCCCTGTCTGCTTTATAAATGTAAAACATGTGTAATATGAAACTTACTATCTCTTCCATTTTTATGGATGCAGATGAGTGGTACTAAGTGTGTTCATGTTGGACGATCATCATACTCATAAGATCCCCAGGACTTTCTTGACCTTGTAAAACAGCTTCCTGTTCCCTTCTCCCTCTGGTCCTTGGCAACTACAACTGACCCATCCCAATGAGTTTGTTAACTTTGTGGACCTCTTGTAAGTGGAGTCATGCAGTACTTGGTTTGTGACTGCCTTATTTCACTTAGTCTAATGTCATTAAGGTTTAGCCATGTAAGCATGTGTTAGAAAGACCTTCCTTTTAAAAACTGAATAATGTTCACTTATATGAACACATGGAATGATTCTAACTTTTCACTGTTTTGAATGATACTGTCATTAGTATGGATGTAAAGATATCTCCTCAGGACCCTGTCTCTATTTCTTAACTGAGTTTAGATATCACTAAATCATATATTTAGCTGTATTTAGTCTTGGTCA